AAGCAAGCGGGATCCGGGCTCATTCTCGGGACTTACGTCATTAGTCCGATCCTTTGTAGGAACTACCCGTACTAACGAACTTGCCAAATAGATATCATAAAGAAAAGAGATTCGTTGTTCCTGACCCTACTTCACCTTACTTGCCGCCTTCCTTAACAAGCCCTCGAGCCTCCTTTTCGCTGCGTTCCTCATAGAAGCCGCCGGGTTGACCCTGAAGTCCGAATGGGCAGCGAGTCAGATCTTGGAATGCCAGTATGCGTCTTTACCTTTTTTGTTCTAATCGAGATTAGATTAGCCCCGCAGGCGGCACATGCACAACACGAGGAACGAGGGGTGGACCGTGTAGTGAACAAAAAATTAAAAATTCAACACGAGCCCGCGGGCAGCACGAACTTTTGGTCTGATTGTTATCTAATTTTCATAAGCACAGTCCAATTTCATATTACATGAAACTCCCACCCCAATTCCATTCATAAGGCACAGTACTCCTTCCTAAGCAAACATATCCTCCATTTGCTCTGTAGACTGTAGGGACTAGGGAAGAACGCTCCTCTTTGTTGATAATGAAAGCAGCTTCTGCCATTTTCCCCCATTGATCGAACACTTGATAAAGTATGCCTAGTTGATTAGTTCGTTACGCTTCTCCCATTTTCCTAATTGTTATTTAAGTTTTGAAATTGTGGTTAATTTTCAAATTTAAGGTTTACATATTTTTTACAATTTATGACTATGATTTTGCGCTCAATTAATTCCCATTTTGTATTGCATTTTTGTTGTTCAATTTGAAGAGGAATTATGCAATGCCAGTTGCTACATTTTCCTTTTTTTTAATGAACGTTGGCAATCTGATTTCGGCACCGATACCCGAATTAGGTAGTATAATATGGGTCCTGGTGCAAGATTCCGGTAGTGTAATTTGGGTCCCGGTGCATGAATCCGACCGTATAATTTGGGTACCGGTGCAAGATTCCGGCAATCTAATTTGTTTGATATAAGGCTCTGGAGACATGAATTTGGGTCTATTAATTTTCATAGATATAAGGTAACTGCTTCCTTAGGACTCGTTACTAGTATTACTACCTACGTGTAAGTCAACTCTCATGTATCAGGCCTACCTTTAATCGTGCCCCAAAACTCCAATCAAGTACCGTCTATGAGGCCCCGAGATTTCAAACCGGTGACTTGTATTAGGCCCCGGAATTTGAAAACGGCACCCTCTATTAGGCCCTGGATATTTGAAACGGTATCCTCTACTAGGCCCCGGAAATTCTAGCCGATACCCTTTATTAGGTCCTGGAAATTGACGCCGGTACTTAGTATTAATCCCTAGAAATTTGAACAGATGTATTGCATTAATGCCCGAAAATTCGAACCGCTACATTATATTAATCCTTGTAAAAGTCTCATTATTAGTGAGTTAAGTATAAAACAAGGGACTCAATTTTTGCAAAATGTAGAGAAAGAATACTCTATCTATTTTACAGAGGTAAAAGGAACTGAGCTAAAATGGGTTTGGGTTTTCGGTGGGTTTTAATTAAATAAGGGAAAGAATTGAGTCCCCTTGGTTAAACAATTGAGTCCCTTTGGTCTTTTTTTTTTTTTTTTAGAGTTCCTTCCTCTTTTTGGAACAAAAATAAGGCATAGAATTACAATACTTTGAATGTTTATTTTCTTCATCATCTTCATTACATCCTCGATCTTCCTACTCCACATTTCTCTTTAAAATCATGACCATCTTAAGCTAACTTTAACTTAGGTGGACTGTCAACCCACCTACCACCTAATATAATCACACCCATCCATTTGTTTTATAGTTTGGGCTATTAGAAATCTTATAAAAGGATGCTTGACTGTCTTAGAAACTCTCCTTAATGACCTTTTGTTGCAATATACACAGGACATATCGATAATCAATTTTTATTTTTATTTTTTAATTTTTTTTTTAATTTTAGGGCTCTACAAGCCTTTACTAAAATTGTGATGTGTGTTTCTGCTACAAATGCAAGACAAATAAGCTACAAACCAGAGAGATGAAGAACATGCTTTAGCTTATAATTATTATTAATGAAAGATTTTTTTTTTTTTAATTTTTTAAAATAACAAACATTAAAAAAATTTCAAGAACAAAGCTTTTCTATTACTGTTGCACTTTCTTAATTTCAAACGGCTATATTTTTGAAACAATCAGCAGGAATGATTAATGAAGGGATTGAATTTGTCTGGTCTAATCAAGGCAATAATGAGGGGACTCAATTCTTTACAAGGGATTTAATTCTTCTTGGGTTAAAGGTGAGTTAAGTCGGCTAAAAATACCCCTATCACCGAAAAATTTAACCCAATCCCCTTTTCCTATGTAAAATAAATAGAGTTCCTTTTTCCCACATTTTGCAAGAATTGAGTCCCTTGTTTATACTTAACTCTTATTTTGTAAATTTTAATTGTTCAATTGTTCATCTATTAATGAATTTTTGCGGGAAAAAAATAGCACAAAATATACATGCCTTAAAAAAAATCATCGTAGTGCAATTTATCATTGTCCATGAATCTGTATAAATAATCAAATAGGATAAAAAGTTAGATACGTTATTTTGCAAATTAATTGGTAGAAAATATGGATGATTATATAATTAGGAGTTTTTTTTTTTTTTTTTTTTTTTTTTTTTTTTTTTTTTTTGTGAGGACATAGTACAGTTAGGAGTAAGAAGGGCTTAAATTAAAATAAGGGTAAAATAGAAATATAAACTTTTTAAAAATTATCTTATTTTGCATTTAGGAAAAATGCTACTTGCATAAGGAAAAATTGACTAGAATAATCCCAACTTTGCCTCATTCGCCCAAAATAATCCTACTTTTGAAATAATCTGAATTTTAATGTGAATTTACTCTCAATGGTCTCAAGTGACCTATAACCGGTTGAATAGGTAATTTTTTTTTTGAAAGTTTAATTTACACGTGTCAACACGTGATTAGTCAAAAATACTAACTAACACTTAAAAAAATTTGTTAGTTATTAATTAACACTTAACTAACAAAATAAATCTAATTAATTTAAAATTAATTAAGAGCAAGCCATAAAATTGTAAATTTTATAAAAATTAAAACAACATTAAAAATAAATATGTACATAATATTATTTCAAACATACCAAATTACTTTTCTTATTATATATTTGACCTTAAAATAGCTAATTAAAAGTTTAAAACTATTTAAAAAAAACAAACTTGGATATTTGACCCACACAACCCACTTAACCATTCGACCCACCCAACCCTAACCCACGAACCCTACTTGACTCGCCCTCCAACCCAACTCAACCCACCCTCCAACCCATCTAACCCACGAACTTAGCTCGACACACTCTCCAACCCATCTAACCCATGAACCCAGCTCGACCCACCCACGACCCATCTAACCCACAAACCCAACTCGACCCACCCACGACCCGTCTAACCCACGAACCCAGCCTTGGTGTGTCCACTTTCTCCGACCCAATTAACCCACGACCCAACCCACCCTACCCCTACAAGGGTTGTGCGTGTCATGAAATTAAACCCCAACCTACGACCCACCTAACCCCGACGAGCTCGCATGACACGCACGGTGGCCACCTCTAGCTACCATGTACCTTAGAAGTATAGGATTTAAATCTTGCCCAAGAGTGCTTAGGGATGGGGATTTTCTCACCATTTCTCGTTTTCAAGTGTTTGACTTGCAAAAATTGGACCAAAAAATCATGATCCTTTTTGTTCCTTACCATAAAAACACGAGCAAAAGTATAATGTGTCCAAGACTTTATTTTAACTAACAAAGAGATTCAAACGTTATTTTTAATTTACTCATTATGAATATTAAATACTTCAATTCCTCCAATTCATTTATTATTAATTGCATCATTTAGACTTTCATGTTTGTCAATGTTAAATTTTTTGGCTATCAACATATTTTATTTATTTTTAATAAATATTATAATATTTGATAGCCAAAGGATAAATCAAAATGAATCTAATAAGATCTCACGCCATTATATTTTTTTTCTATTAGGTATAAAACCAAATAAAATAGTCAAAGAGAGATGTAAGAATAGTGTAAAAGTTCGAATGGTGTGATTATAAAAATCAAAGGAAGTGCTATATAAGTTTAGACTATCCTAGTTATAAGATAAATATGAATTCTTAAGTATCTAACTAGTTTTGGGCTTGGATAGTGTCCTAGTCATTATAATATAAGACCAAAAATGTTGTTAGTAGTTAAATTTTAAATGGTTGAAGATATAATAGCTAAATAGTATAATAACGATAAAACTAGACGACTGCATGAACCAGCAGGCTTTACCTAGTGAGTAGTGAGATATATTATATTGCCTATTAACCATGGGCTAGACACTTTAGTAGTCATGGGTGTTAAGGTTTTCCTACCATATATACCTCTTTTGGGAATAATTGATCTAAGCCCCAACTTTAAAGTTGTAAGGTTCACTCATTTCTTATAATTTAAACTTAACTTATTAGTATGTTATATAGTGTTTGATTCTTCAAAAACTTAGCTTGTTATATTCTACATTAGTACACGATACTACAAAAGAATCGATATTCTATGGTGCAAAAATTATTATATGAAGAAACCATATATTTTTTGTTGGTTAGTCAAAGAATATGATGGGACCATAAATTAAATGAAATTATTTGTCTATGATTTAACTCTCAAAATTGCCCTCCAAGTTTAAAAGACAACTTTTAATCTATGCCTCTACCACTAATCACTCCACACATGTCTATTAAAATTTCCACATACATACCCATAAAATCGTAAAGTTGTTAGTTACTCCATCAAACTAGCAAAAATTAACTCTTCTTCTTCATTTTCTCTTTTTCTTAATCTAACATTCTAACTAACAAATACTACCCACATTTTCCTCTCACCCGCTTTTAGTAAACTAAGATAAAAAGAGCACGTACTAAAAAATTGATCATAAAAAATATACTACATTATTTGTTACAACCATGGATTATTCTCTAAGAAAATCATCCTTCAATGGCTCCTCCCATGGTTCTTCTTCCTCCTTCAAAAATCGTTCCAATGGTAGTGATGACGACGAGTCACCTACACTCACAATAGAACATCCCCTTCCTTCACCACACCCCCACCACATCCACGACGTTGGTGGTAAAAGCCCTTCGTCGCAAGATGAATTCATCGTTAAAATCGATCCTCAAGACGATACCACGGCCATCAACAACACGACGAGCACTAGCCATGATACTCATGGTACCCTATGGAGAGGATCCTCCGAGGAATTCTCGTTCCCTAAGCCTATCGACGACACTATTAAAGACGAAGATGGACGGACTAGTACAGGGTCCGGAGGGTCAATACAAAGTGGTCATCATGATCCAACCTCGAAGCTCATAGGTCAATTCCTAGAGCAACAAAAGGCTAAAGGTGACATGTCACTAGACATGGACATGGACATGGAAGAGCTACAACAACAAAATAATGATCAAACTAAAATTCGACGTCAAGTGTTACAAAGTGGTAGAGGTCTTCCTCCGTTACACCCGGATTATTCGAGTTGGAGTCGAAATCCTAGTGACATTCAAAGTCCTGATATTAGTAGCAACCTACAATATAAGAGTACCCCGAATAATAACCCTAGCAACAATGATAATGGATCAAAGGAAACTCGTGTTTCGTTCCACGAGTCCTTAACCTCGGAGTTGGCTAGACGTCCTTCAGCCATGTATAGTAACGTGCAAGATGATTCTACATCGTGTAATTCATCGAATTCAAGGGGTGATGAGAATCATTTCGATGATAATAACCATAAGAATCATAACCACAGTTCAGAAATTCGACGGTCTCCATCTAATAAAACAAATGCATCATATCGAAGAATGTCATTAACTAAGACAAGGTCTAGGCTAATGGATCCTCCGGCATCCCCAACAGACCGTTCAGGTGTGATACCAAAATCTGGTACGGTCAATATGAAGTCGGGTTTCCTAGGAAAGACGGCGCCAATGTATGAAGACGACGATGATGATCCTTTCTTAGACGAAGATGTACCTGAAGAGTTTAAGAGTGTTAAAATTGGTACCATGGTTGTCATTGAATGGGTAAGTCTTATTGCAATAACTGGCGGTTTAATTTGTAGCCTTGTTATTCCGATTTTAAGGAAAAAAACTATTTGGAATATGAAATTATGGAAGTGGTTAGTGTTGATCCTTGTTCTAATTTGTGGAAGATTGGTATCGAATTGGGGGATTAGGCTTATAATGTTCCTCACTGAGAGAAATTGTTTGCTACGAAAACGAGTTTTATATTTTGTTTTCGGGTTAAGGAAGGCCGTACAAAATGTTATTTGGTTAGGTCTTGCACTTATAGCATGGTACATTTTGTTCGATAAGAGGGCTCTACTCGAGTCTAGGAGTGCAAAACTTAAGATTGTTACGAAACTCTTGATCATAGCCGAAGTTGGGGCTATTTTATGGTTGTTAAAGACCTTACTAGTTAAGGTCTTAGCATCAAATTTCCATGTGAAAGCCTTTTTCGAAAGGATTCAAGACTCGTTATTTAATCAATTTGTAATTGAGACGCTTTCAGCTCCCCCAGTGTACGATGATCAAGGTCAAGATGAGGAAGAAATTCAAAATGTGGGGATTAGCATGCCTTTTAACGTGCAAGGTACCGCCTTTGCACGTAGTAAAAGTGGTACAAGTAATACTAGTACCTTGCAACGAGCACCTAACGGTGGGAGGATTCATCAAGGGGTAAATGCAACAACACCCGTACCAACACCGACACCTAGTAAGAGTCCTATAGGGTATAGTTCAAGGTTGTCGGAACCAAATCATGATCCGAATAAGAAGCAAGATGAGGGGATAACAATTGATCACTTGCATAAGCTAAATCAAAACAATGTTTCAGCATGGAATATGAAGAGATTGATTAAAATTATACGACATGGAGCTTTAACTACGTTGGATGAACAAATTGTGGGTGTAACAGCCCAAGATGATGAGTCCACGACTCGTATTAGGAGTGAGGTTCAGGCCAAGGCTGCTGCTAAGAAGATTTTTCGCAATGTTGCCAAACCTTTCTCTAGGTCAGTCGTTAGTCTTTATTTATTTATTTTGCGTCACATTTCTCATACTTCCTTTGTTCTTTTTTGTTATACTCGCTTTTCATTTTACATTGTTCTTTTTGTAGTTTATTTAATTATTTTATTAAATTTTAGGACTACCCCTTAATATTGATTTTAATGAGAAAAAAATTACTTTGTCGTTACACTTATAATGCTTTCCTTTATAATCTTAAATTGACTAGGATAATGATTCATGTATACGTTATAACATAGCAATTGATCATATGTCTAAGCTACTTGTTTTCTTTGGTGAGCTTTAGTATATATAAATATATAATACAACAAACAAATCATTTTTTTTCTAAAATCAAAGGAATCGTAAGTGTGTATGTGTGTGAAAGTTGTTAAGTATGATCCACATTTTATTAATAAATTTTTATATGCTTAAATACTTTTAATTTTCATACATTATATATTTGCTTAGCATAAAAAAATTTATGAGAATGTTAGGTACATATATTTGGACGACTTAATGCGTTTTATGCGAGAAGATGAAGCTGAGAGGACATTGAGTCTCTTTGAAGGGGGTATCGAAGACGAGAGAATTAGCAAGAAATCAATGAAGAATTGGGTGGTAATAAGTTACTACTCCATATTTAAAACTCACATATATAATTTTAATAGAGCATGGGAATTCTATTAGGAGAGTAACCCAATTGCATAAATCTATACGGAGTATTAAAAAGCATTTCAAAGGAAGTTAAAAAATTGTAATGCACGATTCGAATTACATGATCAAGTGTTAAAACTAAATGTTTTAGCACTAAATTATGTCATGTTTCATGTTCAATCATGATAACAAATGATCAAAATGTAGTAAATTAACATACAAAAAATAAAATTTAATTAAGTGAAGATTGAATCACAAAATTAATGTAAAATTTTAAATACCATGTTAGTTCAGGGCATTGCTCGGACCCTAATATTGATTAAGTTTATATCTTATGCGTTGTAATTCAGGTTAACGCTTTTCGGGAAAGAAGAGCGCTTTCATTGACACTTGGTGACACAAAATCAGCTGTTAACAAGCTACATAAGATGGTGAATGTTATAGTTAGCATCATTATCGTCATCTTCGGGTTTATATTCCTAAACATCATTTCGTCACAATCTCTCTTATTCTTAAGCTCTCAAGTGGTTGTCGTTGCATTTGTTTTCGGAAACACTTGTAAGAACATATTTGAATCCATCGTTTTCTTATTTGTGATACACCCATTTGACGTTGGTGATCGTTGTGAGATTGATGGAATTCAGGTACGCCAACTAAAAGAGTTGCAGAAGTCTTTAAATCCTCCTGTCCCCACATTGCTTGCATCATTTTAACTTTTACACTATTACACATTGTTTGGGTCCAATTTAGTCAAAATTGGGCCTGGGCACTAAATGATCCAATTAAAAGCCCAAGGTCAAGGTTCAACTCTCCAATTGCTCAAAAGTCAAAAGTCAGCCCACAAAGTAAGCCAATTGGGCTAAAGCCCAACCTCTCCAAGTATGATGAGGTATAAAAGCCCTCATATTAACACATTCAAGGGGAGAGTCATATTCTTACATCAGACACAACGACATCTCATAACATCATATACGAGATCAGACACAACATCACATGCATTATCTCATACACGGATTATTGCAATTCATATGCTCATTCTTGCATTGAGAAATACTCCAAAAAAGCCTCAAGCTACAAACTCTCTTGCATAGTGTCTTCCTTTTTACACATTGTACTGACTTTAGCATCGGAGGGGCCTTCCTCGGAAACACCCCCGAGGCTAGTTTACGTGTGTTCACTGTGCAGGAAACCTTCGGCCCAACACAGCTTGGATCGAATCCAGTCTTCTCCATTTTAGTGGACCTTCGGCAAGGTCCCATTGTTTTCAACCGAAACAATTTGGCGCCGTCTGTGGGGAAGACTTTCAAAAATCTTTAAGCCAAATTCCTAACCAAGATCATCTTGCAATTATCTTAGCAGCCATGGCTAAGAACCGCAAGAGCAAAAGCCTCCGTCAAGGAGCGGGCGAAAAGCCTAAAACCCCTACACCATCGCCCTCGCCGGACCGGAACTCTCCCAAGGGTGCCGGCTCGGGGGGAGGATCACACAAGGAGGATTCCCTATCTCCTATAATGCATGACTCTCAATATAGGCCGGACCACTCTCGGTCTAGCAGGGGTCAGTCTGATCATAGGACATATTCAGTGTCCCAAAGCCAACCATCGGCTGCACGGCCTCATTACCACACTCGGCCGGGGACCCCTTTGACGGGGCCCAGTTCGGAGGAGGTGGCAAGAGCGCTGGCAGTACTCATGGAGGCAATGAGGGCACAGAATATGCCACCGTCTCGTGATCGAACTCCTCCGCATACCCGGCATCAGCGGAGGAAGTTAGACCATGACGGTGGGAAGCTTCCTTCCTTCCGGGAACTGGAAGAGTGGGAGGAGGATTCTTGGAAAAATGAAAAACAGAGGAAGAAGAACTCTCAATTATTTAAAGGATCCTCATCCTCAAGACCAGCAGCGCATAAGAGCAGCAGCTCAGCTTCTCGGCCAGAATCTGCTCGCCGGGAACCTGAGACTGCTCGCAGAAGCGTCCTTGACCGACTCGGCGGCCAGGAACCGAGCGTGCGTAGTCGCCTCACGTTCCCTGCAGCCGAGGCCCAGACTTCCCAGCCAGGGACGAAAACCACTCCTACCTCTCTGAGAGGGCGGAGCGCGGTCCCTTCGGCCAGGAACAAGGGCAAGGCCATTATGCTTCCCGCTAGTTCACCATTCGAGCAATGGATACTAGAAGAGCGCGTACCCACGGTTAAAATACCGTCGCATATCACATATGACGGGACCACGGATCCGAAGGACCACGTGGCCTCGTATGAGACTCATATGCATCTTTGCCCCAGATCCGAGGCGACTTGGTGCAAATATTTCCCAACCACTCTCAAGGGGGTCGCGCAAGCGTGGATCTCCAAGGGAGTAAGGCAAGGCTCCATAACAGGTTGGGATGATCTGTCCTCCAAGTTCAGGAGCAAGTTTTCCACGGCAAACCGCCGAGAGAAGACTACCGCAGAGCTCATGGGTCTGCAACAGGGGGAAACTGAAAGCCTCCGAGACTACCTGACCCGTTTCAGTAACGAGTCATCAAGCGTCTCTCAGCTGGACCAGGGGCTAGCTGTTTTTGCAATGCAGAATGGCCTTCAGCCAGGAAAATTCCTAGACTTCATGGTCATGCATACCCCGCAGACCTTGGAGGAAGCTCTTAGTGCTTCGGATAAGTTCATCCGAGCCGAAGAATGGAATAAAGCAAAAACCCAACCTCAATCCGGGGGAGGGAAACAGAGGCAAATACCTTTGTCTGAAGGCCAAGGCCATAAGGCAAAGGGAAAATCAAAGGCTCCGGAGCCATCTCCGGCCAGCGACCCAAAGAAGGACAGGTTTGCCTCATACACAGGCAGATACGAGTCCTACACTCCGCTCTCTCTTCCACGCGCCAAAATTTACAGTGTGACGAAGGAGGAGCAGAGTTACCGAAAGCCGAGACCACTCCCAGAGTGGTATCAGCGAAAAAATAAAAATCAGTGGTGTGAGTTCCACGAGTCTTCGGGCCACAACACTGAAGAGTGTATCCAGCTGAAGGACCAGATAGAAGACATGGTCCGGAAGGGATACTTGAAAAAATACATCGCGGATCACCGCGAGAAAAAAGAATCCGAAAGGTTAGCAAAGGACCCTCGGCAGGACCTTGATTTCCCTCGGAAAAACAGTAAAAAACCGGAGGGGAAATTCCCTCCGATCAATGTTATCTCGGGAGGAATATACTCTCGGAGGGAGCACAAGCGTCACCTTAGAGCTTTGACTCACCAGGTGAACAACGCTGACATTCAATCTCCCCAGTCGCCGGTGCCGAACATGACGTTCACAGCCGCCGACTGCCGGGGGATTACGTTCCCTCACGAGGATCCGTTGGTGATCATCGCCACGGTGGCCAACCACGACGTCAGTAAGGTCCTTGTTGACGGTGGCAGCGGAGCAAACATTCTGTTCCGAAAGGCCTACAACCAAATTAAGCTGAAGCCCAAGCACCTTACGCCGGTACCCTATCCGGTATACGGGTTCAATGGGGCTTCAACTTATCCAGATGGGAAGGTGACACTTCCTGTCACCATCGGTTGCGATGAGGCAGCCCGGAACGTCATGATTGAGTTTTTGGTCATCGACGCTCCTTCAGTGTACAACGTGATTTTGGGGAGACCCATAATTCACGAGATCCAAGGGGTCGTCTCAACTTATCATCAGCTGATGATTTACGTCTCAGACGCCGGCTTCCCCGAAAGGATATAGGGCAACCAGAAGGACGCCCGAAGGTGCAACTACCTCAAGCCATCCAGTAGTCGCCCAGATAACGACAAGGATGAGGAGGAGAAAGAAAAAGAAAGAGAGCCAAGCACAAAAAAGCCGAAAGGCCTAAGTGCTTCGGCCCAAGGATCAGTGCCCAGAGAAAAAGGTCCCGAAAGGGAAAAGGTTGACTCTTCATCTGAGCCGAAAGACTCAGAGAGCCAGCCGAAGAACACAAAGACTGGGACACCTGCTGACATTGGCAGCAGACCAGATTCTGAAGAGTCCAGTCCATCAGCAATGGACATGGACCAACAGACTGAAACAGCAGAGTTGGCCGAAGGAGATGCTGAGAAATGTGTAACAATCGGGATGGACCTTGATCCTAACACCCGTTGTGAACTTATTCAGCTCCTGCGGGATAACAGAGATGTGTTTGCTTTCTCGGCAGCTGATATGCCCGGGATAAGTTCAGACCTCATCTCCCATAACTGAAGGGTCCATGCAAGGCCTCTCAAAATTGGGGATCTTGTCCTTCGGAATGCTGCTGCAGTTCAGAAAGGCCGAATCCATGGGAAGCTCTCAGCTACATGGGAGGGACCTTATGAAATTTATGATGAGCTTCAGCCAGGGACATACCGACTTCGGCAGTTGGATGGAACTGAGTTGAAGAATCACTGGAATGCTGATGTACTGAAAAAATACCATGTGTAAACCCTTCGGGGCAGAACAATCTTTGTAAGTACATTTTGAACTAATGACAGGCCTTGGAGCCGCCATTTATATAAAATTTACAACTGTTTATCCTTTCAAAATTTTCTTTGTTCTATCTACTCTTTGAGGGTTTTTTATTCAGCCTCGTCTGAAGCCTTCGCCTTCGGGTAACTGGGTTTCAGATTGCTGACAAAACCTGTCTTTTTAAAGAACACCGGTCTTTCAGCTGAAGTCAAACTTCAGTAAGACTTGTTCTCCAAAGACATGAGTCCATGGACAATTCTGGGATATTGCCTTAACTGAGCCTTGTATCCCAGAGAGCCATTATCCGAAACATTGCCTTAAGTTGGCCCTGTGTTTCGGGTATCCATTTTTCAAAGATAGCCAGAAAATCAAGGATAACAGCAACAGTTGAAAATTTTTAAACCAGCCTCGTCTGAAACCTTCGCCTTCGGGTAACTGGGTTTCAGATGGCTTACAAAACTCAGTCTTTTTAAAGAACACTGGTCTTTCAGCTGAAGTCAAACTTCAGTAAGACTTGTTCTCCAAAGACATGAGTCCATGGACAATTCTGGGATATTGCCTTAACTGAGCCTTGTATCCCAGAGAGCCATTATCCGAAACATTGCCTTAAGTTGGCCCTGTGTTTCGGGTATCCATTTTTCAAAGATAGACAGAAAATCAAGGATAACAGCCTTTTTAAATCAGCCTCGTCTGAAACCTTCGCCTTCGGGTAACTGGGTTTCAGATGGCTTACAAAACTCAGTCTTTTTAAAGAACACTGGTCTTTCAGCTGAAATCAAACATCAGTAAGACCTGTTCTCCAAAGACACGAGTCCATGGACAATCCTGGGATATTGCCTTAACTGAGCCTTGTATCCCAGAGAGCCATTATCCGAAACATTGCCTTAAGTTGGCCCTGTGTTTCGGATATACGTCTTCTTTAAGAACGCTGGTCTTTCAGCTGAAGTCAAATTTCAGTAAGACTTGTTCTAAAGAGGTTAGTCCCAGAAAGCTAATATCCCAAGCATTGCCTTCAGTTGGCCCTGTGTTTCGGATATCCAACTTTCAGACAGTCAATCTTCAGTAAGACTTGTATCCCAGAAGCATTGCCTTCAGTTGGCCCTGTGTTTCGGATATCAATTTTGAAGAAGTTCAGAAATTGCTTATTCAACTAAAGTCATACTTCAATTTCTGTGGGGGCAAGAAGCACGCAGTGCAGCTATGTTCGGCAGAGTTGAAGAAAAGAAACAGTAAAGCATTCAAAAATAAAGCAACTGAAGAAAAAAAAAAAAAAAAATTTTGAGCTACAAGTTCAATAATACAGTATCGGCAGCCGCCCACAAGCGGAAAATAACAGCTGCCGAAATACGTACATAAGCAAAAAAATAAAACTGCTGTACGACAAGGCAAGCTGAAGCAAAAAACAAGGCAAAAAACTCAGAAAGCGGCAAGTCTAAAGTTAAGCACATGATGAACCGCAAGATTCTGAAGACGACTGCCCGAGTTCCTATGCTTCAGCCGGGGGATCAGACTGATCAGCGTTGAGTCCCATGATGGCCTCAGCCCCAGCAGCCGAAGAGGCGGGCTTTGCATTTTGCCGAGCCTCCCTTTCCCTCTGCTCAGCTTCCAACTCCAGTCTTTCAGCTTCCTCTTCGGCTTCCTCAGCCTTAAGAATTTCAGCTTCAGCTGGAGTTGCATACTTCATGTGAGGGTCTTCGGGATTCTGGACCCACTCAGCACATTTAGACCAGTCCAGCTTCGGCTCAGCATGAAGGCAGAGTCTTCGGCATACTCGGAATCCGTTTCTGAAACCCATCTCATATTCCTCTTGGGTATAAACACGGACCTTGAGTGAAGCCTCAGCATCAGCCAGCTTCTTCTGGGTCTCCTCCAAGTCTTCCTTGGATTTCTTCAGCTGTTCAGCGACTTTGGAGGAGGACCCCTTCAGCTCATTCAGCTCTTGCTGAATTTGGAAAGCCTTTGTCTGAGCTTGGGCCACTTCAACTTTCTGGATCAGCAGTTGATCCTCAGCCTCTTGGAATTTAGCTCTTTGAGCTTCAGCAGCAGCAGCAGCCTCTGAGAGTTGGACGTCTTTGGCCAAGAGCAACTCTTCAGCAGCCATTCGGCTGGCTTCAAGAGCCTCTAGACGCTGCTGCACTTCAGCTTGTGCAGCAGTTCCTTCTTGAATTCGGCTCTCAATAGCAGCCTTGAATTTGGAGACGTCCACTCCCATATGCTCCTGGAGGAATTTTTCCCCTTCCATCAGTGGGGGAAAAACCTCCATCTCCATAGCATCGCAGAAGGTTTTCAGAGCTTCGGCAGCTTTTTTACCGTACTCCTCAACCTCCTGCTGCTTCTCTTCAGCTGCTGCTTGCTTCAGCTTAGCAAGCTTAACTTCCTCTTCAGCCACCTTCCTTTCGTGCACAGCAGCGTCTACCCTATCTTGTAGGGTATCAATCAGCTCTACAGTGAGAGTCTGATTGTGCACGAACTGAAAACAGGAAGACAAAAAAAAAAAATAAAAAAAATAAAAATAAGCAATAAAAAAAATAGAGCTGAATTTCGGAGGGAATGAAGGAAAATTACCTGCATCATCAGCAGTTGGTTAGACCTGGCTGGGTCAGGAACTGATCTACTGGATTCGCCCATCCCAGCAGTGGCCTTCAGCGACCAGATCCTTGCCCTGTCTACTTCGGACATGCCAGCAAAACTGCCGAAGTAGGCTTCAGCTCCTTCTCGGTTTTGACCCCATATGAGGTCCCAGATGTGATCTGGGATTGGAATTCGGGGGGCCGAGAAACCCATTTCTCCAGAATGCAGAGTCTGGAAAGAAGGGAAGGACGACGATGGAGCTTGATTAGCTTTGGTTGTCTCAGCATCGTCCTTCTCAGAGGAGTCAAGTACTATGACCTCCTCTTCTTCAGGGGTGAGGACGAAAGCCTCAACCTCTCTTGCGATATCTGCCGTGAAGCCTTCAGCACTTGACATCACGGCATCTTTATTTCCGTGCTCAGCAGCACTCTCCTTGATTTCTTCTTGGACCACTCCCTTAGGTTCGGGAGTCCTCTGATCCACCTCCATCTCAGGAGGTGGCGGAGGGGTCTTTTGAGGAGATTGGGGTGTTGGCTGGGGAACCCTCGGCGATCCATTGCCTTCCTCAGGTTCCCTTATTGCGACGCCGATGGTCATCGGCCTCTGCTGAAAGTCATGAGGGCCGATGATGGCCATCCTTCGGCGCCTTTTCAGAAGGGGCTGCTCGTCCATATCTGAGTCTGAAGACTCTTGTATTTGATCTTCGGGACGAACAGGAGCTTTGCCTTCTCTGTGTCTGTTACTCTCTTCAGACTGTAACAGACAGGGGGGAAGAAGAGTGTGAGTAAAAAAAAAAAAAAAAAAAAAAAAAAGAAGAAAAGAAAAAAGTTGTCTGAAAGCTCACCGAGGTTTTCAGCAAAGCCTCGTCTTCTTCAGCTGCTCTAGCTGCAGCTTCGGCTTCAGCAGCTCTGGAGGACCCTTCTCCTCCTTCACAAGCCTCAAGTACCCGTGCAACCTCTTCGGCTGTGCGGGCAGCTTCAGCTTCCTCGTTCAGCAGCTGAAACCAAGGGTCTCTCTTCTTCCACCAAGGCTTCTGCCTCTGATACAGAGCAACAGCCTCAATTTGGAAGTGGGAAGAGTCCAGATGAACTTCCCTATGCCTCGGCTCAGTGATAGACGGGGCCCGTTCAGTTACAACTCGCTCTCGGTTAACACCAAGACGAGCGTAGTTAATACCAACGTTGGTCTCGTCCCGCTCTGAAAAAAGGAAAGGGAAAAAGTTTAGCTCAGGTATGGCACAGCATAAAAAAGCAAAGCGAGAGAAGAAAAAGGTAGTTAAAAAGCCTCGGCCCCAGCCGAAGAAGCTTACCATCCTTAAACTTTCGGCTGAGGCCAACAGCTGCTAGCATGTTCTCTTGGAAAACGTAATGCGTATCGGGGAGCCAAGTCTCCGGGATATGCTGCATTCGACCACTTCCCCCCGGGTTCGGCAGCTTGCCGAAGATATGTTGCTGATCCAGGTTCGGATCCGACCCGTTATCTGCGGGGGGACCTAGACTTCCCATTTCGGGATCAGGCTCAGCTAAGTACCGGGGAGCGCTGAAGACACAAGGGTGGCCCGGATCTATGGGTGCCCTAACCCAAATCCATTGACCTCTCCAATCCTTGTCTGAAGAGTCATTTGGCCACATGGTCAAATATTGGGGCCGGGACTCAATCCGATACCACCCAGAACCATGGCTTCCGTGCCCACTCTGAATATTTGGCACTAGCCGATGGAGCTTTCTGAAGCAGTGCAGGTTCGGCACGTATCTGAAGAACTTGCAGACCCATAAGTATGTCATCACCCTTCGGATGCTGGTGGGGGTTAGCTGACATAGGGAAATGTTGTAATGGATCAACAAGTCTCGGACGAAAACGTCCAAAGGGAACCTCAGCCCATACTGAAGCTGTCTCGTGTACACCCCCACATACCCCGGGGGTGGACGATGGATTCTATCGGATGCTGAGGGCATTCGGCACCAATATCCATCAGCTTCAAAAATGCCGTAGTGCAACTCAATTTGCTCGGCAAATCGATATTGATCGGCGTTCTCTACCCACCATGAGTAGGGGCGGTTCTTTATCATGGCCGAAGCGACTTCGGCATTCTCCCACTCTGAAAACCCAGGGAGGATATCCCAAAGGACAGCGGGAATTTCATCGTCCCGTCCAGAAGCACTCGGCTCATCCGTTCTTTGAGGAGGAGCCGAGGAAAGGGGAGTCGCCCTAATCCCATCAGCAGGGTCAGACTCCGGCCTTCGACCATTCCAGGTCCCAATCCTATTCCTAGGATCGGGAATCGGCCTTGCTCTTCTTGGAGCACGGGCTCTACCTCTAACTCCTCTTGCCATGGACTATTTCGAAGAGAAAAGTCGAAAGAAAAGGGGAAGGAGTTCGAATTCGAAGAAAAATAAACTGAAATCAAAGGAATTTACCTTAATCTGAAGCGAAAGTTGCCGGTTTACGAGTTCGTAGTGGCAAGTCTCAGTTTCTAAGCTCAATGCTCGGGGGAATTTGCGAAGTTTTGATACGGATTCTTGGATTCTCTCTCGAAGAATTCTGGGTTTGTGTTGGTGAATAAGTGAGGAGAATGACGCGCCTCTGTTTATATCTCCAGGTACGGGATACGAAGAGTCTGTGCTTTAATTTCTCTTAAGTACCCACTAAGTAACCATTAAACACATGTCTTGTGATTAAACCGCCCATTATCCGTCCAACTTCCGCAAATCATTAACCGTTGTTATCTCATTAATTACGGTTTAAATTCAAATTTTTGGATCAATTAAATCATTTACTTCCCTCCTTTTCTGAGTTAAATCAAACCCGACCCGTCATCCTTCCGAATCGGGTCTGGGGGGCAAGTTGTTTGGGTCCAATTTAGTCAAAATTGGGCCTGGGCACTAAATGATCCAATTAAAAGCCCAAGGTCAAGGTTCAACTCTCCAATTGCTCAAAAGTCAAAAGTCAGCCCACAAAGTAAGCCAATTGGGCTAAAGCCCAACCTCTCCAAGTATGATGAGGTATAAAAGCCCTCATATTAACACATTCAAGGGGAGAGTCATATTCTTACATCAGACACAACGACATCTCATAACATCATATACGAGATCAGACACAACATCACATGCATTATCTCATACACGGATTATTGCAATTCATATGCTCATTCTTGCATTGAGAAATACTCCAAAAAAGCCTCAAGCTACAAACTCTCTTGCATAGTGTCTTCCTTTTTACACATTGTACTGACTTTAGCATCGGAGGGGCCTTCCTCGGAAACACCCCCGAGGCTAGTTTACGTGTGTTCACTGTGCAGGAAACCTTCGGCCCAACACAGCTTGGATCGAATCCAGTCTTCTCCATTTTAGTGGACCTTCGGCAAGGTCCCATTGTTTTCAACCGAAACACACATCATGACCATCTGTTAATGCTAATTTATAAAAACATATGTTAATATATAAGATATTGTTATATTTATATATACTATTATAACTAATTCTTAATACCTGTAATAGTGAAGGTTAAAGTTATGCGCATTGATATATGTCAAGTGAAAGTGATGCAAGTAATCTCGGACAATGGGAGTACATGCTACATTTTCTAACTTTTAACTTTTCTTCTTCTTTGATTTCAGATGGTTGTGGAAGAGATAAACATATTAACAACAGTTTTCTTAAGATTTGACAATCAAAAGATAGTTTTCCCAAACTATATTCTCTTAACAAAGCCAATCAATAACTATTACCGTAGCCCTGATATGGGAGATGGAATTGAATTGTGTTTCCACATTGCAACTCCGGCAGAAAAAATTGCCGTCATTAGGCAAAGAATAACAAGGTTAGATCTAACCTTCAATTCCATATAATCGCGCCTATAACAACTTGTACATAACATTATTCAATCGACACAATAAATTCCTCTAACACTTAACCTTAGAATTAATGTTAAGGTTCTAAGTAAATATGATCACTTCATACTCGTATTGTGTACTCCTCTGTCCCTATTTTTTTGCTTCATCGCCAAAATTTGAGTCAAACTTTGACCATAAATTCTCGTTATTCTACAATAGGTAATATAGTCATGTGAAATCTTATTTGGTTCGTCTCATTGTATATTTAATTAATATCAACTTTTTATAATTTTCTCGCGAGTAAAAAATGGAGATATAAATGATTTAACACGTGTTTTGGAGATCGTGAAAAGTCAAATGGGGCAAAAATAAAGGGATAGAGGGAGTACATGTTAGTCTTTGGAACATATTGATTTAACAAACTACATTAAATTCTTATTACTTATATTTATCTTTTCTATGCTATGCAGCTATATCGAGAATAAGAAGGAGCATTGGTATCCAGGACCGATGGTGATATTGAAGGATACAGATGGTCTAAATATGCTACGAATAGCGGTTTGGCTACAACATCGAATGAACCATCAAGACATGGGCGAAAGATGGGTAAGACGAGCACTTTTGATCGAGGAATGTGTAAAGATTTTTAGAGAAATGGATATCGAGTATCGAGTATACCCTATGAATGTTAATGTTACATCCATTCCACCTCTCAATTATGCTCATGTCTCTCCACCTAGTTGGAATGCTCCTCCTTCTGATAGCGGGAAACAGGTTGTTCTTCCCTAGTAGAGTTAAAGTGCAATTAATACATAATTAGTTGTTTAATTTGTCTTGTAAAACGAAAGGTGATTGATTGCGTATAGGATTACAATGATTTTGGGTTTTTGCATTACAATTTAATTTTCACTTTATCATATTTTTTGTCAATGTACAAATTTTTATTCATATTTTATAATTTTTTTTTACATATATTATTCACTTCATTATGAATAGATGGGTAATATTTCTATATATAAATTGTTAAAATGTTGGTAAAATTTGGATTAGGACCTAATTAAGAAATGATTTTATTATTTAATTTATTATATTCATTTTAACACAAATTAAAATATTGGGTGAGTTTTGTTTCACCGTGAGCTTAACCATCCAACTTATAAAATTCCAAAAATTGATACGTCCAATAATTTCTATGAAATTTTTTAATAACTTATATGAATTGTCCAAAAAGCTTATATCTAAATTTCAGATAATGTAAAGACTTTCAAAAATATATACTCCGTAAATATCCAACCACTTATAAATGTCTCGCCATTAGTCCGAACTCAAACAATACTTTTTTTTTTTCATTTACTATCAACTTTCAATTATTTATTTTAGTTAAGTAATGAATTTTACCCCTTTTAGAAAACCAATTAGGATCTAATTAAGAAATAAGGTTTGTAGCTTAAATGTTGGCTAACTTGCAGCTTAAAAGTAGGGTAGTTTGAAAAATCATATGGCAAGCCAAGCTATACGCGTTTAATAGTACATCAAAGTACATTACCATATGGATTAATAACTGTTGCATTACTTGCATGTTTTTTAGGTGAGCCAAATTAGAAAACTAACTGTTAAGTTTAGAGTTGATTTGGAAACTCAACTCTTCTCTAATAGCTAACATAGCAAGCTAGAGTACATGAACATGACATGTCCGTTCTCATTTAATTACTTACATAAATGACTCATCGATTATAAGACTTGTAAGGTTTAAGTGATGATAAATTGATAAATTAAAGCTAGTGGTGGAGTGTGTTGAAGTATATATATCCTAACAAATAACACATGTAAGTGTCTCACATTGAGAAAAGAAGTGAGTTATACACTTTATAAGACTAATTTAAGGGGTTACTCTTCCTATTGTCATATGGTTTTGGGATGGAATTTCCTTTGCACTTGTAAAGTGGACTCTCTCTCTTGGTTTGCAAGTGCAGCCCAGATCCGTATTTAATAGAGTGATATATAGACTCATAATTACAAAGATATTAAGAGTTTAATTGAATAGCTCTATAAGTTTATATAACACTATTAAAATTATATTTCTTCCTGGATGTCTTCATCATCAGAAATTCAGAACCAGTATTTAACTATTTTTAATATGCAAGTGTGCATGCATGTACACGTTGGGATGATTCTATAAGTTTATATAACACTATAAACTTTAAAATAAAAAAAGAGAAGCAATTTCCTTGCGAATGCCCATACGCAAATTTCTGCGCGGCTTGCTTGGCTGATATGTTTTATTTGTTGGCTGATATGTTTCATGTGTTGGCTAATATGTTTTATTTATTGGCTGATATGATTTTTGTGTTGACTAATATATTCTTTTTGTTGGCTGATATATATATTTTTTCTTTTTATTAGCTAATACCAGACATCATTTGGCTTAATTATATGTTTCTTTAGTTGGCTGATATATTTATTTTGTTGACTAATATATATACTACCTCCGTTACAAATTAATTGCAACTTTCACCTTGACACGGATTCTAAGACAAAATTTCATAATAGTGGATTAATGAATAAGAGAATAGGTAATTAAGCAAGGTAGGAAGAGAAAGTGAAGGTAATTAATAAATTACCCATCACCATCAACAACACCCACTCCACCACCGTCGGCCAGCAGCATCCATCCCACCACCGTCGGCCAGCAACAACCACCCCACCACCGTCGGCCAGCAACAACCACCCCACCACCGTCGGCCGATAACAGCCACCCACCACCGTCGGCCACAAGCACCCCCGAACAACCCTAAAACCACAACCACAGCCCGAACAACCCCAGAATCACCCACAATCAACCCAAACGATGACACCGAAACCACCGCCGCAGCCCAAACAACTCCAAAAACCACCGCACCCCCGCAGCCCAAACAGCCCTAAAATCACCACCTCTCAATCCAAACGACACCGAAACCACCCCTTCTCAACTCTAACCACACCGAAACCAACTCCTCTCAGCCGAACCACCCCAAAACCACCAACACTCGCCATAAACCACCCCAAAACAGCCACCCTCACTCAGCCCCAATATCACCCACACTCACCCTAAACCAACCCAAAACTACCCTTACTCACCTTGAACCACACCGAAACCACCCCAAACTAGACCATTCACCCCTCAAACCATTAGATCTAAACAATTAAAAAAAAAAGAAGAGAGAGAGAGAGAGAGAGAGGGGGAGGAACATTGAGGGGTGACTTTGAATATGGTGATGAGCAGCGATGACGTTGACGGTGGTGGTAGATGCAGCGACGATGTTGACGGTGGTGGTTAGATGCGGCGACGATGGCGACGAAGACGACGACGACGTTGAGAATGGGGTGTTGGGTGTTCTGACAATTTTCGTGGGAGTTACCCACTTGAAATCTTGAATGAATCTTTGGAATTGAATTGTTTTAACTTATGTTATAAGCTAGATTAGGAGTTTAATGAAATCTGATTTAGGTAGTTAATTGTGTTTATGAGTTTTTTTAGTAAGGGTATTTTTGTACTTTCATTTTTAAAAACTTACTAGAATAGGAAGAAAATGGAAAGTTGCAACTAATGTGTAGCACCCCAATTTGGCAAAAATTGCAACTAATATGTAATGGAGGTAGTATTTTAATTGTTGGCTTATATGTTTCATTTTTTGGCAGATATGTTTATTTTGTTGGCTTACCTATTGCTTTTGTTTGCCGATTTCATCATTTTGTTGACTGATATGCTTCATTTGTTGGCTGATATGTTTCTTCGGTTGGCTGATAAGTATCTTTTGTTGGCTGATATATTCCTCTTGTTGGCTGATGTATTCCTCTTGTTGGCTGATATATATCTTTTGTTGGCTGATACGTTTTTATTAATGTCTGATATATCTCTAATGTTAACTGATATCAGACATTAATTGACTTATATGTTCAGTGTAATGGTTGATATACAAACTTATTATATTTCCTTCTCTCTCCTCTTTCCCTCTCTTCCTCTTCCTCTATGTACAAACTATGTTTATAGCTGATATGTTTGTTTTAGCAGCTCCTCACGCCACAAATTCTCACGCCCACTCCCACCGCACCCACCAACCACCAACTTTCGACCCACCGAACCCACCATCACTCCCACCTACCCACCAACCACCAACCATCGACCCACTGAACCCACCACCACTCCCACCGTACCCACCAACCACCAACCATCGACCCACTGAACCCACCACCACCACCTCTTTCATCGCACCTATTTTTCTCTCTTCCTCCAATCTCGCTCTATCAGAACTCCACTAGCAGCAAACCACGACCACCACCAATCGAACCTCCAGTCCCCCTACCTCACTCCCCTGCTGCTGCCCTGCTACGAGCACCCTGCACAGCCACACCGCAGCTCCTGCCGGAGCCCAGCCGCAGCCACGGTCATTGTCGTCATCCACCGTTGTCATCTTCATCGTCATCGTTATCTTTATCGTCATCGTCGTCTTCATCGTCATTGTTGTCTCCTCCCGCACGAACTGTTGGGTGCGGGTGCCTGCACCAATAGTTTGTGAAGAAAAAAATATTTATAATTAATTTTGACGTAAAAAATAAATAAAAAATCATTCAATAAAAATTTAGTATAATGGTAGTCATTTTAAAGATGACTACCATAAAATTTTGGTGTCCATTGTTTGTCATTGGTAGCTAGGTAAGCTAGCCATCAAATTTCGAATACTTGAGCAAATACTGTCAAAAATAAGCAAATCGAGGAGGGTATAGTCCCTAAAAAATGCATATAATCGAAGGGTTGGGGATTTTGAGTGCTATGGTGAATGGTTGAAGAAGAAACTGTATACCGTGCTAATGCATGACATATATTATATAACGTACAAAAAAAAAAAAAAAAAAAAAAAAGTGAAATGTTAGTAGTAATACCTTGAAAAAATACAAAAAAAAAAATAAAAAATAGAGGGGTGGGTAGTTATTTTTTTTTTTTAAAAAAAAAGTTAAAAAATATTTAATAAAGTGGTGGGATGGGTAGTTATTTTTAAAAAAAAAAATAATAATAAAAAACTAAATGCACGAGAGTTTAACATTGGATTTTAGAAGCTTCTCGTTAAAACGACTCTTAAATTATAAGAGTATATAAGATAAGCAAAACTGATACGGAGTAAAGTAAAAAGTAGAAGAAAATGAGCAAAATAGAAGTTTTGACTTAGTCATTATTCCGAATTCACAACCGGTCAAATTAAATACCTCACCGGCACCATAAATACTCCGTACAACTAAACAAGAGAACGGAGTAAATATGCTGCTGACAAATAACAAGTCTATGTCAAGTGGACGTAGCAACTAGCAACATGGTACAATCCGTACAACATAGTGAAAGACAGTTACCCATCCAATTTAATACAGTATGAGTATAGTTAAACGACTTAAACCAGTTGCTTAATTGATTAGCCTTAGGTCTTAAAACTATATATGATATCAGTAAATCACCATAAAATTGTCTTAAGACAAGACTTCATAAAATTATCTTAAGAAATTCAACACCCAATTTAAGACTCATTTTATTACTTTATACTCATATATTGTATTTTGCCTATATGCATAGCATACCATATTGATGAAAGATAATTAATTATCAATATGTGCATTGTATGTTGTTCAGCATTGTTAGCCGTCAAATCTCGGAGACTCGAGCAAATACCTTCGAAAACAAGTAAACCCTAGTGAATTGAAAGTAGACTTATTATTTATTTTTATTTTTTTTTGGTGGGTACGGCTTGCACAGCAAAACCCTCCCAAGAAACAAAACTCTAGAGGGAATTAAATTCTACTCATACAAATCTAGAATTTCATGCATGGTAATTAATAATCGTACGTAACCAAGTTTAATTTCTTAATCTCAATAAAATACAATTTTTTTTTTGTCACATGTAAAACTCTATTCTTAAGGAATGGATAAAACCATGCAACTTTCCTAAAAAAAACTTCTTGAAAATTGAAATAATATCCTACACCCATTGTAATTTGGGTTCACATTTACTTCATAATAACGAACACACGTACCAAATATAAAAATACCCTAGATACTATTATTGGTGTTGATCACCACCAATAATATAATTAACCCCCAAAACTTCCTAATTTATATGCCAGGCTTAAGTACTTAATGATGTCTTTCGTGGATAATCTGTTACAAATTTGATACGTCGAAATCCATTGATTATAGTTGGGATCGCAGTAGGGGCCTTGTAAGGCAGATAGACGATACTGAGCTTGTTGCAAACATTCAGGATGAACATAAAAATCACAAGAAACGCAACAATAGACTCTTGTATTCGAGTCTCCACTGTGTTGGCATTCAACACATGTTTTGAAAAGCGGCTTAGTTTTGAGCTCGAGCTCGTGGTGAGGGTGCAAGAAAGATAGAAACCTTGTAGGATGAGTAGCACAAATCAAGTGAAATTTGACGTCGCAACGATTGCAATAGTATCTAAGATTTATGTAACAATCACCTTTGCAGTGATCGCAAGTAGTTCCGGCGGTTCCTGTAACAAGAGTTAACGGATGTTTTTTGTGTGCACATGTTTGGAGATTGGTAGCCCTGTTTGCAAACATGTTACCAAACATATTGATCGAATCTGCGCATGCCTTGTGAATGTTAAAGTTGCAAATCCTGCAACAATATCTGTAGCCTACTTGGTCTTTGCTTAGACATGCATTACACCTGTAAATAATATGCATCATATTATTTCGTAAGTTATCAAAGATATTAATATACTCCGTATCACTATAATATAAGCGCAAAAATGCACAACATATTGTGTTTATCTGTTGTTTCGTGTAATCATTGACTATGCTTACAATGGTACAATGATTCATTATTGACGTTTACCAGTTACCACATACGAAGTATTGTGTCTTTTAAATTATTGATTGGTGGTGGGTTTGTGGGTGAGAGGATGGTTGGTATTAGTGTGGAAGTTGGGTAGTGTCAACAACAGTCAAGGTTGGTCAACAATGGTCAATCAAAGTTAGGTTATATAATACAGTACAATGTTATGTTGTGTACTTCCTCTTTTCTTTTTTAGTTAACAATTTTTTTTATTTTTTTTCATGTTTGCTAGCAATTGATATTTCTAATTATAAAAAAGTTTAAATTATAAAATGAAGTTGATATTATAAAAATATATACATCACAATAGTTCTATATAGCTAATTTACTACCTTAAAATAATTAGATTTGCACCATACTACTTAATAGATTTCGTCATAAATCTATTAAGCAGCGGTAAAATAGCTATTAAGTATAAAAAAAAATATTTTTAAAAAAATGGTAATTTACAAAATCCATATCTAGAATCGATCAAATTTTTTTGTTATCTATCAACTTTTTTTGGTAAAATACTCTAGTAAATGAGACTCTAAGACACAACAGGTATATATACACCCATAAAATTAAATTTAAAGCACTTAGCAAAAAAGAAAAAGAAAAAAAAAAACAAAAAACAAAAAAACTTACGTGAACATGCCATGATATTCGAATATGAGTTGATGTTGTGGATGAAGTGGGTGCGAAATTAGAAATTGATGTGAAGACGACCCTCTAAGATGCTCAATTTGCCTCTCTCGGTTTCTATCATTTTCTATGACTTTGTCACCATCTTTAAGGTCTGATCTATTTAACATGTATTTAGCACCCTTGAAGGCAACAATAGACATTGCCAATGGATCAGGCATATTTTTGGTTATAAATTAGCTAGACAATAGATAGGTTTTTTTATTTTTATTTTTTATTTTTTTTAATACTTGTAGTTAGAAATGTATTTTGTGTTTTGCATGTGTGTGTATATATATATATGTGAGCGCACCTTACTTGGCCAAGGGAGACACTACTATATATACTAGGGTTTTCTAACACTTTCTATCATGGGTATAATAGTAATTTTGTCGTTGAAAAAATAACGCATGTGGGAGGAACATAAAAAGGTAAGAGCATAAGACCGTAAGGGTGGGCAGTAGTCACCTTTAATGACAAAGGAGAGAGAGTAGTACAAAGTAAGATATAAATTAATTATTGAGAGAAATAAATATGACAGGGAAAAAAAAACCACTTGACTATAAGACTAGTCTCACACTTTAAGAAAGACATAAATTAAACCATATGTTACCTTTGTTTCTCAATATAATGCTTATTTGATTGACCTTCAATCGCGTGAGAAGTGAAAAATTATAGACTTTTAATGACATAAATTAAACCACATGACTACTCCATTTATTTCTCAATGCGTGTTTGGTTAACCTTCAATTCAATGATGGAGGAAGTGAAAATTCATGTAAATTTGCAAATGTGATACTTTTTGGTTGACAATAAATAATGAAAATGGAGAAATGGAAATTCATAAGAATAAGAACTTTCAACCATACAAGGAAAACATATGAATTACAAATTACTTTGTCACTATTGAAAAAATTGTGTGAGAAAAGTGCTTCCCATAAATTACAAATTACAATGGGAATTTGCTTCCCAATTGAACAAATCGAATAAGCACTCAAACAATTGACAATTGGTTTAATTATTTTAAGATTAAATATTTTTTGTGCTCATTGTAGTAATGTAAATTCTTCATATTGTTGATGTATACAATCCAAACTTATTTTACATTTGAAATTTAACACCCTTACAATTTTTTATTATTTATTTTTTATTTTTTTGTGATCAAAAGTGTTGATGAATTATAACGTAATTGCATCTTCTTCATAAGCATAATTATTATTAATAATTTATGAGGTGAAAGTAATTATTACTAAGCATTATTATTAAGATGAAATAGTATTCTCTCCCTTACTATATACAATACGTATGCTTTCTTACACTAATCCAAAAATAAACTACGTTATTTACGTATTGTTAAGCTAAGTGATCGGGCCTATGGTCCTTACTATGATTGCAAAGATAACTCGTGAGACAATTCAGAAATAATCTTTATAGATTGAGGCGATTCTTACAATATCTCACAATATTATATTTGCAATCATCAAAATAAGTATATTCGTAATCATTAATATTAGTCAAATTAATTAGAGTATGTAAATAGTGAAAATATTATACAAGCTTGGATAATATTACATACATACACTATCCACCAAAAGTAATTTTTTTTTCTTCACTTGCACTATTAACTCATGGTGAAGAGAGTACAATCCATATTTAGTAGTCCCATAATCCCCTTATTATTATTTTAATGAGCCATTTAATTTTTGGGATGACTTTAGGACTTTTCGCCCCACCATTAATTTGGATTTATTTTATTTTATATTATTTTTTTTAATTACCCTTAAGCCCTCGCTAGTACAAATTATATTAGTCACTCTCGGTCACCTCTAATACGAATATTTTTTTTTTTACTCTTTTTAATTTCTTCAAATGAGCAAAATAGATAAAATGAGAAGAAAAAAAAGGAGCAAAATAGAGGTGTTGACTTGGTCATTATTCCATTTCCACACCCGGTCAAATTATATCCTTCGCTGGATCATACTTAAATAGTTGACTTAGTCATTAATTTTCATTTCCACACCCGGTCAAATTATATCCGTTGCTGGATCATACTTAAATAGTTAACTTAGTCATTATTCCATACGTTTCGTTCCACACCCGGTCAAGTTATATCCCTTGCCGGATCTTACTTAAATACTCCGTACGACGACTGTACAAGAGTAACGAGTAAATCTGTAAATATGCTACTTAGGTTATGTTGACAAGTCTAAAGCTAGTGGAAGTAGCAACTAGCAACATGCATGGTACAAGACTACAAGCAGTACAACAAATAAAACGAAAGACAGTTGCACACCCAATTCAATGAAGTAATTAAGATGAACCACTTACCATATTAGTCCTTATTAGCTGTACGTATGTACGTGAATACAACTCATATAAGAGGTGAAGAGGGTTAGGTTGATAAATTATTGGTTCATGAGATAGTGAGTAATCACTAATCAACAAAAAAACTGAATAATATAGAATAGGTTTAACCCCTTTGACAATGGAAGAAACTTTGATTGGATGATGGTATACAGTTAAGGTACTTGCATAATTCCTTTGTTTCTTTTTATTTGACTTGTTTCAACTTTAACACTCATTACTTATGGAGTAATTTATACGGGAAATTCTCAATGGTGCTCTTGAGGTTTTCATTTTTCTCAATGGTAAACATTAAAAAATCAAATTATCTTTAGTAATCAACAATTTATGTTATTAATTTAGTGGTGACATTAATGAGATTAATTTACAATTGTAAGCCTAACCATGGTTAACTAAAGGCAAAATGACTAATATATCCTTGAAATCATATTTTCCTTTATTTTTTAACAATTAAATAATTAAAAAAATACCAACCACACTTTCCCCAGCCACCACCGCCAGCCACCAGCCTTGATCCCTATCCCCTGGAGCCGACCGCGCCTAAACCCTCCAGCGCCGGCGCCGCATGAACCAGTAGCCCCTTCCCTACCCCCACGAAACTCTAAACCCTTTAAAACCCATCCCTAACCCTCAAAAAACCCCAACCATCCCTAACCAGAACCCCCCACGACCGACGCCGACCCCCTAATCGATTCCATTTCACCCAATTCACCCCAAATTTCCTCAAATACAAAAACAATGAGCCCACAAATCCCCAACAACCTCGTCGATCTCGACCTAGGGTTCGTGAAGTTAACTCCGAATTCATGTTACCTGTGGCAAAATCGACCTAATTCGAACCCGTTAGCCCGGTTCGATCTTCGTCGAAACCCAGGGTTGCTGTTAAGCTTTTTAAGGAAGGTTCTAGAGTTGGGATTCCGACGCCTCGAAGTTGTTGCAAGCTAATGAAATTTGCTCCAATGGTGAAAATGATAATGATGATGATGGTGGTGGGTGTTTTGTTAATGGGGATTGCGAGTCAGTGAAATCGGTGAGAGACGATTGATGGTGTAAATCAGTGATATCAGGGAGGGGATTTGGGTGGGCGCGGCTGGCGCCGGCCGAGAGCATGGAGTCGGGGCTGGGTGGACAGGGGGTGGCGGGGGGAAAGAAGAAGGTGGTGGGTTTTTTTTTTCAGTTTTAGGCATTTCTATCTTTCCTCCCTTCTAAAACATTCAGCATGGTTAATATTTCCTTAAAATGCTTAACTAATGTTACCATTGAATTAGTTTTACAAATTATAGATTACCAAAGGTTTTTCTTTCGAAATAAGAGACAAGAGTTGTTTTATTTCCAAAGATAATATGTTATATGCTAATGCAAAATTGATTAATGGTTTGTATGTTTTAGATTATACAACCCATGTTTACAACATTGATTAGGAAAAGCGCAAAACAGGTGAATCAAACCAAACCTATCTATGGCATTGTAGGTTAGGTCATGTAAACCAATCGCGCATCCAGAAATTACGAAAGGATGGACTCCTAACTTCATTTGATTATGAATCATTTGAAAATTGTGAGTCATGCTTGTTAGGTAAGATGACCAAATCACCTTTTACAGGAAAGGGTGAAAGAGCTAGTGACCTTTTGGGCCTCATACATACAGATGTGTGTGGACCAATGAGTTCAAAAGCTAGAGGTGGTTTTAACTACTTCATTACTTTTATTGATGATTAAAGTAGGTATGGCTATATCTATTTAATGAAGCACAAGTCGGAATCCTTTGAAAAGTTCGAGGAATCCAAAATGAAGTACAAAACCAGCTTGGGAAGACAATTATAGCACTACGATCTGATCGTGGTGGTGAATATTTGACTCAAGAGTTTGTTGATCATCTAAGGGATTGTGGAATACTTTCACAACTAACTCCTCCAGGAACGCCACAGTTAAATGGTGTGTCGAAAAGGAGAAGTCGAACTTTGCTTGACATGGTTCGATCCATGACAAGCTTTAATAATTTGCACATATCGTTCTGGGGATATGCATTAGAGGCGGCTGCAAACATACTAAACAGAAGCCCATCCAAAGTAGTTGAGAAGACACCATATGAGTTATGGATTGGAAAGGTTCCAAAGTTATCTTATCTCAAGATTTGGGGATGTGAAGCCTATGTAAAACGTTTACAAGGCAACAAACTAGGCCCTAAATCAGAAAAATGTTTATTCGTGGGTTATCCCAAGGAGACTAAAGGGTATTACTTCTACAATCGCGCAGATAACAAAGTGTTTGTTGCTTGCGATGGTGTCTTTTTGGAAAGAGAATTTCTTTCTACAAAGTAAAGTGGTTCTCGAAGAAATTCAAGACGAGCAACAAATGGATGTGGATAACACCACACCAGAGGCGAGGGCGCATGAATCAGCTAATTTGACAAATCATGTGCCGGAGCAAGCTAATTCGACTAGCGAGACTCCTATCGTCCCACTTGAATCTAATTCTTGCGAAAATCTTCAAAGAGTTGGAGAGAATATTTCTGTTGCTGCTCCTACCCCAAGTAGGTCAATCAGAATCAGAAACAAACAGTTTGTTGATGTTCTGTTAACTGAGGATTCTGAAATCTTTTTATTGGAGAATGAGAAACCTACAACCTACAAGCAAGCTTTGGCGAGCCCCGACTCAGAGAAATGGCTTGAGGCCATGAAATCCGAAATGGAATCGATGTCCGAAAATGCTGTGTGGGCCCTGGTAGACTTGCCTAATAGGGTCAAACCTATTGGTTGCAAGTGGGTCTACAAGATTAAGACAGACAAAGATGGAAATGCCTACATCTATAAAGCAAGACTGGTTGCAAAAGGCTTCAAGAAAATTCATGGTATTGACTATGATGAAACCTTTTCCCCAGTAGCAATGCTTAAGTCCATTCGGATTCTTCTAGCGATTGCTGCATTTTTTTATTACGAAATTTGACAGATGGATGTCAAAACCGCCTTCTTGAATGGGTTCTTGACGGAGGATGTGTATATGACACAACTTGAGGGTTTTGAAGATCCAGAAAATCCTGGAAGGGTATGCAAACTTTATAAATCCATTTATAGATTGAAGCAAGCATCAAGGAGTTGGAACCTTCGTTTCGATGAGGCGATCAAACAGTTTGATTTTCTCAAGAGCGAAGAAGAACCTTGTGTATACAAAAAATCTAGTGGGAGCAGCTTAGTTTTCTTAGTCTTTTATGTAGATGACATACTACTCATGGGAAATGACATACCAATGCTT